ATTAATTTATCCTGCAAATTACATCAATATTGAACTATATTACTCTAGATAAGCACCCACTATCTTTCTCTTTCTCTTTGACAGGCAAGTTAATTAATTTAGACTCAGTCAGTTATCCATTTTAATGGAGAGTAAACGACTTGTTCCTACCCAAAAAATTTCAAAATACCACTTTTCCACCCAAAGCTTATATTCCGACCAATCACTGGTTGATTTCGGCATTTTTGCAACCCTAAGGCACTATCATTTTCTTCCCCGATCATCACTCACCAAAACCACTCAAACCTTGCTCCCGCCAATCGAGTGATTTGTGTAACATGCATTTGTCCCTCCCAAGTCAGATTTTGACCAATCTCAACCACCAAAATCTAACCTATCACCATTAAAAGACTCACTGACATCCCTTCTTCAAAAGCCCCATTAGCTTGGACCGAATTTTCTCTCTATTGTCCACCAAATAAGAAAGTGTATTCTGGATAGTAAACGAAATATAAACTTTGGGTGGGAAAGAGTCGTTTACTCTTTAACGGGGGGAAACTTATGGGCACATCATCCACAAAGAATTAATTTTGAAGAATTAATGCACCTAGATTGGTGATCTTACAATAAATGATCTTACATGCATAGTAGTTTAAGGACGTGGGATATTCATCATCTGCTGCGCCAAGGAATACCTTTCTCAGGTTCAGGAGATGGGATTCAATCATTGTGCGCCCACCAAACCGTTTTTTGTGTGGCCTGTTATGGATTTGTTGCGTACTAACCTAACCAAGGTTCCCTACATGTTTGAATATTGCCAGAGGTTGAAATTTATCTACCTTAAGTAGCTTGATGGTTTTTATTTCAGATACTTCCAAACAAAAACGGATCAGCTGGAAGCCTAGTGAATTCGGTAAACGGCTGAAGTTCTTGGCTTGTTGCAGACACTGTCAACATTTTATTTGAATGGAGCAAAAATTTCCTCGTAATCCATACCATACTGTTGAGAAAACTCCTGTCAAACTATTCTAACTTTATATCTCTTAACTGATCCATCAGACTTTGTTTTGATTTTATACACCCAACAAGAGCCTATTGTACTTTTACTAGGAGGTAAATGAACCAAGTCCCAAGTATCAGTCTTATACAAAGCAGAGAGCTCCTTATCCATAGCCTGTTGCTAAAGAGGATCAAGAACCGCCTTCTTGTAGGGAGAAGGCTCACAAACACTGTGAATGGCTGCTAAAAAGGAAGAAAAATAAGGTGAATGATAAGAATAAATTTTTTTTTTCTTCCATTTTCTGGAAACAATTTTACTTGCAATTTAGAAGGATGATTGTTTTGGCCACAGTAATTTAAGGAACATTCTTGATATATGCTGCAATTGGATGCTAATTTCTTATAAGACTGCACAAAACCAAAATTTTAACTTCATCAATTGTATTGCATTCTTACTCCGAAAATTGTTTATCCAATTGAGTTATCAATGCTCATAAATTATTCCAGACTCATCCTTATAATATTCCGGGATACGAGAATTGTATCTCAATTATCAAGCAACCTATCTAAAATCAATATTCAAAAGAAAAGGTTAAGTTTTTTCTTGATTAACATTTCAAGCTCTTAAATCGTTATTTGCAGGCGGGTAAACATATAGTTCTTTCTCTATGATGGGGGACACCAACACTATTTATTAGCAAACAGTGATGAAGTTGGATATTGAACAGCTCTCATTTCGCAAATGATTTGGGCTTGGATATAAGTCTCTTCATCCACCTTATCCCACCGACCATTTGAGCCTAGATCCCTCAAATTATGATGGGCTTATTATGAGGCTTGGTCAAAAACTTAAAGCCCACTCAGGTTTTTCAGATTTTTAAATGGTTATAAAACGAACATCATCTTATAACATTTTGTCACTTTACATCATAGGATCATAACAATATTCATAAGCTAATTTTTTTTT